CAGAAGCTTATATTGCTAAAATTGCGTTGTCTAGAAAAGTCTTTTGCATTTGAAGCATTCCAAAGGTTACAAGTGAGCGTATTTCATCATGCTGTTGCCTGCCTCAATATCCTTAATTGTGGAACATTCTCTTAAAGACCACCGTAGTGTGGCTCCTCACTCACCCAACCTATGGAATTCATGCTGTGGGGTAACTTTAAGCACCATGACTGGCCAGCAAACCATTAAAAGCTCAAAGCCATCATCAGCCGTGGGCAGTCAACTGGACGATCAATAATTTGCAGCAGGCTCACGTGTTGCACGTCGTTCACCGTCAGGGGCCCATCTGGAGCCCTTTTTGTCGTTACAACGTGCGAGGTATAGAATTACTGACGAATGCTTATTCAAATTTGTCTTGTTATTTAGTTCAAGTTAAATAGCACCACAGCCACGGATATGCGACAAATGCACTTGCCATTGCTGAGGGAAACATAGGCTACCTTTTGATGGTCACTTCATGCTTTTAAAACTGCGGTCTACTGCCGTCGTTTGTTCTTTATTCCATTCTAAGTGTTATCCTGCGACAAACGTGTCTAGCATTTCCAGACTGACCTAACATATGAAGCAAATTACATAACAAAGGCATTACATGCATGCAGGGTATTATTTAGTACAAAATTAACGGTAGTGATGTGTCTAAGTGCCTAGTGTGCCAATGTTTAAGATCCTTTATTGTATTTCTCTGGCCTAGCATGCATCGCTTGCTCATATGCATTGAGAGGGTTCAGAGGAGCATTGGAAAGGGAGGGGGGTCAGGCAGCGCTAGCAGGCTCAGCCCCCCCCCCCCCCGCAGGAAGCACATAAAGTGACGCCCCGCTGGCATGTTGAATAGTTCGATGTGCAATCAAGTGGCGCTCGTCGTTTTAGAGCGTAAAGGTCAGCCTGAGAGGCCGGCGGTCGACGATAGTTGGCGCTGCGTACCGGCCGGCCGCCTCTGCGGGCGACCCACGGAGGGCCCCACGGAGGGCCCCACGGAGGGCCCCGTGGAGGGCCCCCACGGAGGACCTCCAGGGCCAGCTGGTGTATTCCCGCTGTCTGTGAGCGAATGCTTTTGTTTTTGGAGACATTCATCCCTGTGTTATGTGTTCTGACAAGCTGGGAGTACGATGCTGCTTACATCTCCTCAAAGACATGATAGCGAAACAGACCAGGCTAAGGATGGCGTGGATTCCGACCTCAGCACAGACCGGACCAGGCCGCGGTCTGCCATCGGCCATTCATGGTCCCCGTGGCAGGCGACGTCACGACCAATGCACGGCGGTCCCGATCAGCTGCATGGACCACTTTCCACATCCACCACTATCCATTTTTATCCAGCTGTCGCCCAGTCGCGCCTTGACGGTGAGAGGCCGCACAGGCCCGAAATAATCATGGCAGATCAACGCCACCAGCGACAGACGGTCGGAGTGCCCGTCAGCGTGGTTGATGATCATCGAAAGACACACGCCTCTGGTCAAGGTCACACCTACACATCCATCCTGCTCGAGGCTCACAGACGACGGTCAGTTGCGTAGTGCCATGCGTGGACGTGTGCGTTCCGTGTTACGTGTGCGCGGCCGTGCACCGGAGAACCACGAACACTTCCTTTCGCGTCAGAACACAGTGAAGGGTGATCTCCGCCATGCTCGGTTATCGTTCTTTTTCCAAATGCTATCACAACTCGCGTCGCACCGCATGGAAGGACCCACGCTTTCAGCAATCCGTTACGGGGCAACTTATGCACAACTTCCTTACAGCCCTTATTATGTTCGGCTTCATTTTCATTTCACTGTTTATTATGCTTTGGTGTCCTTGCGTCTCAACTGGGCTTCTAATGCATTGATCGCGCGTGTGTAATTGACATACACCTTGCGATCAACCTTAAGTTGAGCGAAACTACACAAAACACCACTCATGCGTTCACATGCCTCGCAAATTGCAGAGCGCGATCCCCGCTCCGAAGATGGATGAGCTTGGGTAAATGGGACAGGGGTGAATGGCGAAATGTTTCAGTGCCCCCAAGGGCCAAGGCAGATATAGGTAGGTGAAATCGGCAGCCACCATAAAAGCATCCCTACATCCAACAATTTTCCAGTCCTCTGAAAGGAATATAGCGATTCTATGTACAAAAAGAGCCATGGGGAGAGGTGATTGGGCTAACCATACCATTCTGAACACGCTATTCGATTCCTGTGCTAATTTTACATCTTGTATTTCGTTTCATCATGTCGAATATGCCCTATTGCTAACGCCTGGAAGGGAGCCCAGGTTTCACTACTTCACAAGTCAGGTTCTAAATCCGACCAAAACAACTAGTCCCATATCTACTCTGACGGCGGTAGCCAAAGTGTCCGATCGCGTCGTTGGCAATCTGCTGATAGCGTATCCGCCGAGCCGTAACGTAATCAGTGAGCAGCAGCATGGCTCCCAGCACGGGCACTCCACGGAGTCGGCACTATTGAACGCTGTCAGGCTCATTGTCAACAGTTCACACACGTGGCCAGTCACCCATCTGGAAACAGCTGGGCAGCTAAGCCTTTCACAGCGTCCTGCTTCGCCGACTCGTGCAGAAGTTCGGGCGGTATACCGCTGAAGCGCACTGGTTCCAGCACCAGCTAAGCGAGCGCTCCCATCATGTGCATAGGGGTGCCTGTGCTCCGGTGATGTATGGCGTGGCCCTGGGTTCACTCATCGGGTCCTCGCTCAATCGCTTAATTGCTCAACCGCAACAAACGACTTTTAATCTTGCATAGGTGACGCCAAAATGGCTACGTAAACTGACAATGCCCACTTTATTTGTTGCAGCGATTCCGGAGATCGTACAGCTTAAAGGCTCGCGCAGAGAACACGCTGAAGGCGGCATACTCCTGACCCGCTGCCAAGAGCCCACTGAGTCGAGATGGTCCGACCCGACTGAACCTGGCTGAGCCGCCGTTATTTACATATACGACTAGTCATTAAGTGCCGAAAAAAACCCAAAATCAGACTTGGAGGAGTAGCGCTTTTTAAATAGGTTTTGTATGTAATATTATCATCCTTTTTAAAATGTATCCATAGCTGGAGACATATGTTTGGTTTTGCTGCAGTCGGGACCGCTGCCTCTTCCTCCAATCCCTCCCCCCTCCCTCTCCGCTTCATCGCAGTTTATGGGACCATGTGTTTGATAGCGTTTTGGATGCTGACAGTCATGCTGCAAGTAGTTCCTTACTAAACGGGACTCCCCATACTCATCAATCCAATATTAGCTACAGCCGTGCGATGCGTGTAAAGAATTTATAAGGTTCAAAGTATGTGCTTCCTCCAAGGTTTCTTTTTAAAAAGCTGTGTGATATGTGGACGCAAGTCATGCGATATCAGCCACTGACCGCCGTTCAGCCTGCGGTACGAGAACGACCCGTCGCGCTGGGACACAGAGGGGGTCCCAGGGAAGAGGGGACGCCGTTCCCCGCGTCACCGCACCGGAACAGAGCCGCAGCCCCGGCGATACTAGCGGCAGCTGTCGGCAGTACTGGGGGCCGGGGCGGGCCGAGTGGGGCGGAGTGGATCATCCCGCCGGCCCACTGTCGGGCTTGTGATGACAGACCCGCGGCATTCTAGCCCTCCACACAGCTGGTAAGGAAGAGATGTTCCCCAGCCTTGGATTACTGTGACAGGCGTCATCGCGTGCCATGTAGAGATAGTTATCAGAATTATCGCTGTGCTTAAAAGACCCTGCTTATTTTTGAGGAACTGAGAACACTAATGCGGAACGTTTCCTGGCGAAAGTGCATCCGAATACAGCGGTGTTTCTGGTCATTAAAACACGTCAGCGTCATAACCAGGCCACTCAACAATCACTTCGCAATAACAACTAAATAGCAACCAACAATAGTGAAAGATTTGGGCCTGACAAAACGGGAATAGAAACGATCGCAGGCACGGAATATCTGACGTGATTAATGAGTTGCATTTGTTTTGGACACTCTACTGACTCATGATTGGAAAGGACGTCGACTAAAGACGACACGCAATTAATGATGATGGCCGTGATGACGTTACCCGACCCATGTGAGCCCTGGAAATCGACTATGAGTAGAATGACGCTGGAAAACTTCGTCTGGTATGCGGTCTGCTCAGATCTCAGCCGAGTCAAACTGCGCGATGGAATGCAGGCTTACCATCAGCTCAAGAAAATTCTGCTCACCAAAACCAAAGACGCCCGTTTTGGGCTATCACGGCTAATGCAGATCGGTCGAAGGACTCAAAAGGGACGGAAGGTGACGGAGAACGGCAAAATGCGTTGTGAATATGTGAACGAATTGATGCTAGAATTAATAACAACGAACAGCACACAGTATACATGTTAATATCATCTGCTTCTACCGTTTCGACAGATTAAGCTCCAATTTATGCTTCTGCACTTTCTTGCAAAGCAAACAGCACCTGAAGCACCTCACATATAACCGAAGCAGATGACATGAACTTCACATGAAGTAGTTCATGCATGACACGTCATGTGTGACTCTGAGTTTACACCTTCGAAACAATGAGCTTCAGTCGTCTATAAATGCTACCGTGAACCTGCTGTAGAGCACGATGACGAGCATACTTTTAAGGGATGGCAGCGACGGTAGTGGTCATAGAAGCACCCGGGGTCGCCAGACAAGAATCGAAGCACGGTTAGACGTTAGAACCTCTTGTTGTGCAGCATAAGGTGATGTACGGTCATCTGATCACCTTTGAAGTCTAATGACCTGGATCTTGAACGTGCCATGTTCACCAGCCGAGGGAGCCGAGCGTTGCCGCGATCTTGTACGATTGACTTCACTGGCGGTGCTTCGATTCACGGTGGTGCAGTCAACACCTTGGAGCACCTAGACCTCAAAGTTGTCGTGTGTTTTATTTGATATCCCTGGGTTCATGGCATTACCTAAGTTAACCGTCTGTGATGCATGTGCATTCAAACTCAGCCTGTTTGCAACTTCTGCCAATCCAGCGTTGGGCCCAGATAATCATTCTATTTTCAGCATTCATACCATAAAAGAATGCACCGAAATGGCATCAATGACGAACACTCATGAAAGCCATGCATTTCAAATTCACGTCCATCACTCCCAAAACCCAAGAATAGCAATGCTTGATAGTCGCACAGATCTGTGAGCGCGTAAAAGGTGCCAGTGTGTGCTTACTCCTAATGTCAAGCACACTGAACACGGACCTTGCGGCGTTTGGCTCGGAGCTCATGAGGTGCTCCTTTTCCCCCTTCCGAACTCTCCCCGCACAGGCCAGCACCTGTAGCTCTCTGGCACCCGTACAGACGCAGTTGGTTTGGCTGCCGTCAGGGCAGGCGCACCAGCGGCGTCCGCCCACTGGCAACAGGCCCATGAGAGGTGAGTGGGCAGCTACGCAACAGACAGTGAACACAGGCACCGCCGACAGCGCCGTCACTGCAGCCGGCTCCGCACTTGACGGTGACACCTGCGGATGCCATCCGCGAAATCGTTGCCACCTGCAGCTGCGGGTGGTCCCATCTGTGGTCGACCTTGGCGCCACCTGCTGGCAGCTGGTGTCTGCCAGTGTTGAGCGAGCGACAGTGCCGCCACCCTGCGTACAGCGGCGCTGAGCCCGCTGGCTGGCCACGAGGTCTGGCGCCGCGTTACCGCCGACGCCGGCGAGGCTAGGGCGGCCCTAGCGGCTGAGGTCGGCCCTAGCAGCTGCAGCTCCCGTTGGAGCTGGCGCCGTCCTGCACGGCCATCACGTCAGGGTCGTCCCCCTCCCCCGCCCAGGTTGCCGCTCTTCTCGTGCGCCAGAATCTGGGGGCGCGTGCGCTGTCAGAGAACCGCGAGGCGTCGCGGAGGGGGCGGGTGCTGAGCGATGATGCTGATGAACACTAGCAAATGGGATGGGAACGGAGGGTTAAAACGAGAAGATGATGGTTAAAACAAGAGGGTTAAAACAAGAAGCTCCTCAGCATATCACGAAACATCACCCGACACTCTGGCCACATACGGATGATACCAACGCTCCGTACCCTGCTGATTTTGTCTCCAATAACTGCCATCACTGGCAAGCTGGACTCACTTAACTATGCACACCTTCTCGTTTTGTGACTTCTGATGATTCCTGGATGCAGTTTAAAGCATCAATAAAGTACGCTCGCTTATTCCAAGAGCGACCTCCGCACAGCACCACTTGGCAATGTTAGCTGTTTCGGCTCGTCGACTCCAGCCATTTTCTGTGCCGTGACCTCGTTTGGAAGCCCTGGGGCCGCCTCATCACGTCCACCCTGACCTGCAGCAGGGCGGTGGCCGTGTGTTACCTTGCTGACGAGAAAGCGGGCTGCCTCCTCGATGCCGTTGTTCTCCTTGGCTGAGGTCTGAAACCAGCCGGCGAAGCCGTGCTGCTGTGCCCACTCGGCGACCTTGTCAGGGCTGGCCGCCAGCCCCTCCTTCGGAAGGTCACACTGGCCGGAGGGCAGGTAGCCCAGGTCAGGCCAGGCGAGGTCAAGTTACACCGGCAGGCAGACTGCGGAGCTGAGAGGACGTGGCACCATGCTAGACAAGTTGTGAGGGTCTCATACAGCGATCGCAAACCAAACTTTTGTTTTCATATAAATATGCAAAATAAAACAGATAATAATTAGACGCAACGCCCGTTAATGTAGCGACCTATTCATATTCGAATTTAGCGTGGAGTACGTGATTCCGTTTAAAAATCAGCTTTAAGGTCGAATACGACCCAATGATGACGAAAATGCAATCCGTTTTGCTCTAGCACAATAAGATTAACCTCCAGAGGTCAAATACCCGAGCCAAGCAGTGACGATGATACTTGGAAGCTTCCGGATAAAAAGGATGAAATGAATGCCACGTATATATTTCATCTAAGGACGACAAAAAAATGCCACGACCTATTTTCAGGGCTATATTGTATGTCCACGGACATAGCAGTGCCGCATCGCCGCCGTAGGGTTTTCGTGTTTTAAATATGATGGCATGTGAAAGCCAATCATCAGTTCCAGCCTGGACTGTCAAGTACATCAGAGTCAAAATCCAAGGTCAAAGTAAACATAAAAGGCCAAGGTAGGGCGCAAACCTTTGTATGGGACCCCCGCGTACAACTGAGGTGTCATTACAAAGCCCGTTGTTGATCCCGGCCTGGGCGCCTAAACACACCAGGGTCAAAGTCAAAATCTAAGATCAAATTGAAGGTAAAAGGACGGAGCAGCGCCGCGCTGTCGCTGTATGGGACCAATCTGTGCTAATCAGACGTCACTGGAAAACCCATTGTCTTTTACAGTCTGAGATAAAAAATGTCGAACTTCAAGGTCGATTGTGGAAGAAAACAAGCCAGAACGCAAATTTTCAAGGCCTCCATTCCAGCTTGGAGTTCCCATTATCCATGCTGGTACCAAAAACGGGCTTTGTAATGACGCCTGGTTGTTACAAATTGATCCCATGCAGCGGTAGTGTGGCGCTACCCCCGTTATTTGACATTGAGTTTTCACTTTCAATCTAGTGTTTTGGAAACCCGGGCTGGAATTGATAACGGAAATTCTAATGACGGCCTCTTTTGTGCAGATCGGTCACATACAGCGCCCGTGCGGCGCTACCTCGTCATGTGACCCTTAAGTTGACCTCAGATTTGACTTTAACTCTGGTGCTTTTTGGAGCCCAGGCAGGATATGATGACTGAATTTTAACATTCAGATGATATCACATTTGAAGGCATGGAAACCACACAGCGGCGGCACGGCACTACCTCATTCTTGGACGTTAAACATGACCTCGAAATTTGACCTTGGAGGCTTTTCTGTTCTTCACTGGAATACATACGTGGCTCTCATTTGACGCCTTCCCAATACCGGAACGTTTCCAGTATCTTTGTTACTACTTGACTCGGTTATTTGACGCAACCGCAACGGCGTGTCACAACTGCAGCACACTTTCCGATTTCATGCGAGGACTGACCTTGTTTCCCAGCAGCACACAGGGCACAGGGTCACCGTTGGGCAGCTGTACCTTCGCGAGGACTGACCTTGTTTCCCAGCAGCACGCAGGGCACAGGGTCGCCGTTGGGCAGCTGTACCTTCGCGAGGACTGACCTTGTTTCCCAGCAGCACGCAGGGCACAGGGTCGCCGTTGGGCAGCTGAACCTGCGCGAGGACTGACCTTGTTTCCCAGCAGCACGCAGGGCACGGGGTCACCGTTGGGCAGCTGAACCTTCTCGTCGAGGTCGTTCTTCCACTTCATGACGGCGTCGAAGGTCACGGACCGCGTGACGTCAAACACGATGAAGGCCGCCACCGCTTCCTTGTAGTACACACGCGTCATTGAGCCAAACCTCTCCTGACCTGGAGCACAACACACCGAACCACTCCTGACCTGGAGCACAGTACGCCGAACCTCTTCTGACTTGGAGCACAACACACCGAAGCTTTCCTGGCCTGGAGCACGGCACACCAAACCTCCCTTGTCCTGAAGCACAACACATCGAAACACTCCCGATCTGGAGCACAACACATCGAACCTCTCCTGTCCTGGAGCACAGCACACCAAACCTTCCCTGCCCTGAAGCACAACAAATCGAACCGCTCCTGACCTGCGGCACAACAGAGAGGGAGCCAGGCTTACAACCAAACCACTGGGTGCCAGAGGTGAGCTTCATTTCAGATGCCGTGAAAATCGGCTTCGGTACTGATCAGCTTATGGCTGGATCGAAAAAACTTAAATGCATTAGAAGTATTCATAGGCAGTAGTGGAAGGAAGTGTGCACAGTAGCAGAGATCAACAGCAACGTGACTTGACTACCTCGACCAACATACACAAAATGGATATTTCAAAACTTGACCAGAGATGTGAAAGGCGGTCTTATCAGATGCGCTGTTTCCACCCGTGTCGCGAGGTCTCCAGCGCCGGCCCAGGGGCGGCTCCACCTACCGGCAATGTCCCACAGCTGCAGCCGCACGATGGTGTTGGAGTCCCAGTGGAGCACCTTGAGCGCGAAGTCGACCCCGATGGTGGCTCGGTAGTGAGCCGAGAAGAACTGGTGAACATAGCGCTTTGATGATGGACGTCTTGCCGGTGCCCAGCTCGCCGATGATGAGGATCTTGTACAGATGCTCATACTTGTTTCCAACCTGTGAAGGGCAGACGACAAGGTTGGTTAGCCCAGCATCAGCTGCCTACGACAGATGACTGCCGTTCACGAAGGAAGAGCCAGCTGGCTGAAGTAAAACGCAGCGATGACTTGAAAAATCCATCAAACGAATTATGATAGATGCATGTGTGTTCAAACAGTCCAGGGAGAGGCTTGACACGATTAAACTGGTTTTTGGGAGACCGTCAGATCGTCAACGTCATAGTTTCTCGCCATCGGGCCATCAGGGAACATTGATAGTTTGGCGTATTTTTTTTTTGTCCCAATGTGGATGTGGCAATATCGGTTGGTAAGCTTGCGTGGGCCGACAGAAAATGGAGCCAGGATCCAGCATTTACGTAAATGCATCTATGTGCTATGGCATGTCCACTGTTTTCCCTTTCTCCTGTCCCCTCGAAATGTTTTGTTACTTACACCTCCACGCCTCAAGGCACCGTTGATGAAAGCAATCTGTGAGCAGCGAATTTTTTTTTTTTGATTACAGGCAGGACAAGAGCAAAAATCCGGTATAGGCAGATGGGGCATAGCATTTAGATTTCAAGTAGCGCAGATACTCATCTTTAGTTCGCAGACAGGTGGTGTCAAGCAGCAATGCCAGTGGCACAGACACTAAACTGCTAAGGGTTTAACGGAAACTGGTTTGCAATATGCACGGAGAGTGGCATTTAACCATGCTGGTAGAAACTCCACGCTTTATTACTGAGGCTTGTCAAAACGCGGCTTCGGACAAGAGGCAGAGGCGAGTGTACCTAGCGGTACACAACTGCCCAATGCGAGCCACGACCGAGAAGCGAAAACCGACCACTGCAGCTCGTGGGCGGACGATTACGGCTCATGGCGGACCGATTGCGGCTCATGGCGGACGATTACGGCCCATGGAGGACGATTGCATATCATTGCGGACCCTTGCGCCCTACCCTGTTCCTCGTTCAGTGCACCGTTGCTGGGAATCTAGAGCAGGACCCAGCGATGTACGGATATATAACCTGCCTGGTGCAAAAACCTGCCTGGCGCCTGCGAACGGACATGCTACTTACAAATTACTTAAAAATCAATGCATTCCTGACTGTTGACAATCCACCACGCCGCCGCACTAACAACCGTAATTGCATCACTCGGATCCGGCAGTTTTTGAAAACATTGTTTGGCTTACTGGACATGTGTTGCCATGGAACCCGCGCGAGCTAATCGTGCCCAGCGAGAAGCCAGTCTCCCTGCGGCGCTCAGACCCTCTTTGCCACGTGCATGTGGCTGTTGCTGTCTGGCTATAATGCTTGGCTGTGAGCAATTCTTTGCCTGCTGTAGACTAGTTCCAAGCCTTATTGATTTAAATGAACCAGATGCCCCACCGTTCACAGACTCATCTATGATTATCTCGTGGCCATGTTTGCCAGCGTCGTTGGCGGTTATTGTCGGTGAAAGCGCCACAGGCGACACGGTGCGTTGCCAGTCAGCCGTTTGCCGGCACTTGCTGTACACCGACCCTACACACTGGTGTGTCTGATAGTCGGCGTCGCCGCGGCTCTGCAACCATGGGATCAGGCCTCGAGGGCAGACACGGATTGGATTAGGACCCACTTAGCTGCTTCCCATGCAGGTAGCGTTGAAGTTCAAACGAGCCACATTCCTGATGAGCTTGGCTGGCGAAGGCAGGCTTCGGGCAGCCTTTGCCTGTTTGACCTGCGTCGTGAGTGACGCCCGACGCGCAGGCCCGCCGCGGGGTCGTTACCCCGTCTGCAGCACCCCCTCCCCCCCCTCCGCTGCTAGCGTGACGGCGGCCGCGACAGCCGCTTGGCAACAAGGGGTGCACATGGGTTCAATTGCAGCGACGCAGGCGAACCCACCCAGCCACACTCTAAACGCTAGCCAACGACCAGTCCGTCTGCTCGTAAAAGCACAATGCGAACTTCAGTTTTCCACGCAATGGGCGGAGGGTGGTCGAAAAAACCGGGGAAGTGATGGCAGACGGGAGGGGGGCTGCCATGGGGGGAGGGGATTGAGGCGCCTGAGCTCGAGACGGCACTGGGTACGGGGGGTGTCAACGACACCGCGTGGTCGCTGGCCGTAGGCAAGCCTGTTAGCAGACTTGCGGCGGACAGCGCCTTGCGGCCGCCCCGGCCTGACACACCCATGGCCATGGGCGGCGTGAGATGGCATGGAGGTGCGCGCTTCAGCCACCGCTCTGTTCAAAGGAGCGGCCTCCAAGGCGCCAGTAGAGGAAAGCAAGTTCGAAGTTAGATTCGGTAGTGAGACAAAGTCGGTAGAATCAGTTTGGTCTCGTCAGGCTAGAAACATTAGGCCGAACAATGTGTTCGACCACTGATATCTGTGGATATCGGCCACTGATATCTGTGGGCGTGAGGGCTGCTGATATGTGGGTATCAGTGGTTCAAACGTCAGTACATATTTAACACTACAGCAGCAGCATGCTTTCGAACATCTGAGAACGTGCGCCCAAATCGACGACGCCAAATCTTCATTATTCCGTCCCAATTTGCTTCAGCTGATCGGTTTTGTAGCCCGACTCCTTTCGTACCCTTCCGTGTTTTTTGTCATTCTACGATCTAGTTTGGTTGCATGCAGGGACCAGCAAATAAACAGCGGTTGATCTAACACGCGGATAGTTCTGACATCTGGCGCACTCATTCCAAACAGACCTATGCTAGACTTCGGGCGGAATCGGATCGGATGCTGAATCAAACAGATTTGTGTTGGGTTGCAGTGAAATCGATTCCTTTGAACCTTCGTCGCGAGCACAAGCTAGTCAAATATCCGGTGCATAGACTCCAGCAGGAATACGAGCAGCAGAATATTGCATTGTGTTGTATTGTACGTAATCGCTTCGATCCACATCAGTTTGGCTATTCTCTGAACCTCGCCACTTTGCGTAGTCACAGCACACTTCGCAAGCCAATTCAAATGTTGGAACAATCCCAGCCATCCCAACTTACATCCCATTCGGTATTTGCTGAGCTATACTACGAATTTTAGTCTGTTTTTTTCTGGAGAAGTTTTTTTAGAAGTTTTCGTCTGGAGATTTGGGATCTTTCACAGACCTTGAGTGGTAGCATTCCTGTTATACCTTTGGAACGTGCGATGCGCATATTGCGTCTTTCCATTGTTGTCCATTTCACAATGCATCGCCCAGATGGTGAGATAGCCGCTTATCTCGGACCACACACTCCCGACCTTATATACACAAACGCAGAGCGCACCACAAGCCTCCCAATGATCGGAGCGCTGTGCGGCACGCAGAGAGCAAAGTAATATGCAAACTATTATGCAGACAGTCAAATCTTATTTGTGATATATATATATATATATATATATATATATAACAAATA